TCAATCATTAGTTTGGCGTCTTTGATATCCGTGAGCATCTTTGTTTTCAAGAAGTCATTATCAATTCGATGAGATAGTGCGCTATGTTACTCGGGCAATTCTAATAATCGCATACTAATTTATTCAATCTTATACAGTTCAACAAGTTTGTATTCCTCAATCCATTCTCGGTACTGATGTTTTATGTCAGGCTAAGTCTGGTTTGGGTAAGACCGCTGTCTTTGTTTTATCTACTTTGCAACAACTTGACCCTGTTCCTGGTGAGGTGTCTGTTGTCGTTCTTTGTCACACTCGTGAATTGGCTTACCAAATCAAGAACGAATATGCTAGATTTTCTAAATACTTACCTGATGTCCGTACCAGTGTCTTCTACGGTGGTACCCCCATTACCAAGGATATTGAAATTATCAAGAATAAGGATACCGCTCCTCACATTGTTGTCGCTACCCCTGGTAGATTAAATGCCCTTGTCCGTGACAAATATCTTCGTTTAAGTAACGTCAAGACCTTTGTTATTGATGAATGTGACAAGGTTTTAGAAACTGTTGATATGAGAAGAGATGTTCAAGAAATTTTCCGTGCTACTCCTCACCAAAAGCAAGTTATGATGTTCTCTGCTACTCTTTCTCAGGAAATTAGACCTATTTGTAAGAAGTTTATGCAAAATCCTTTAGAAATCTACGTCGATGATGAAACCAAGTTAACGTTACACGGTCTTCAACAATACTACGTCAAGCTTGAAGAACGCGAAAAAAACAGAAAGCTTTCCGAACTTTTAGATTCTCTTGAGTTTAACCAAGTTATTATCTTTGTCAAGTCCACAAACCGTGCTAACGAACTTAACAAGCTTCTTAACGACTGTAACTTCCCTTCTATTGCTGTCCACTCTGGTATCCCTCAAGAAGAACGTATTGCTCGTTACAAGTCCTTCAAGGAATTCAACAAGCGTATCTGTGTTTCTACTGATGTTTTCGGTCGTGGTATCGATATTGAACGTATTAACTTGGCTATCAACTACGATCTTCCCTCTGAAGCCGATCAGTACTTACATCGTGTTGGTCGTGCTGGTCGTTTCGGTACCAAGGGTCTTGCTGTCTCCTTTGTTTCTTCTGAAGACGATACCAAGGTTTTAGAAAAGATCCAAGAAAGGTTCGAAGTCAATATTGCTCCTTTCCCTGAAGAAGGTGTCGATCCCACCACCTACATGCAAACCTAAGCAAGTCTATGTTTATGTGTAAATCATAGCCAAAGAAGAAGAAAGAAAATATCGTCCAGACTAATTTTTTTAGTTTTGAAATTTGAAATTTGGTGTTTTGAAAGATATGTTTGGTGACTCGTTTAAATTATTTCGTATGTTATATTATATTTAGTAATGCTATTTGTATTAATTCTAAAACTCAGGTACAAATCTGATTGATTATTAATCATTTAATGTAGGATGCCCACCAGCAGTTGCATCAGTTGATCATCAGCTGACTTTAGGCGCCAGATTAGGCACGTTTCTTATACTAGAACCTGGAGTCAAACCAGGCATGGGTTGTGGGTACAGAGAGATAAAGTGCTGAGGAACGCTCTAAGGTTGTTTTTTTAACTGGGGGTTATAAGCGAAATTATGGTTATAGAGATATACCGTGTGGGTCAACAGAATAAGCTAAATAGAAAACATTCAAGTATAGTATGGAAGAAGAAGAAAAGAAGACTGAAAGCTTTAAAAAAGTTTCAAGTGGCAACATCTGATAATTAAAATTGGATTAAAATTAAATTAAAATTGGCATGGAGGCTGCGTTCATATTTGTAATTAGAACTGTCCTCCAGCCAAACTATGTATGGGCCCAATAGTACTATTCTACTATTGAGCAAATATTGAACACAAGGCTAGAACAAATTAATTCACTGAAGATTGATGGCACAGCCAGCCGCATTTTCTAGCGCCTAGGTTGATGGTAAGGACAAATCAAAATGTACAATCAAGAAAATCGAAAAAATAAATAAAAAAAACAAAAAACAAATTTAAAAAAAAATCTAAAAACCATCAAATTTAGAAGGTATTTTGCAGCAGTCAACCGTTAAATTATTCCTCCCTAAACGGTGGGCGTTGGTCTTTATATGGCACATAAAATGGCCGCGGTTTATTGGCTCATACTTTACCCGGACGTTATATTTTTTACACCCGATCTACTGAATAGTGCTCAGTCATAAATAAATAAATAGTCCATTATAACCCCGCTATATGTTAGAAATTATTCGACAAAAAATCTAAAACTCCTCGCAGACATTTTCTTTTGGTTCATCGGAAGTGGTTCTTGTCTTTTTAGAAGATCCATTTTTAGTTTTAACCAATTCAATTCAAAATAAAAAAAAACCAATCATAAAAAAAATCCTTGATTTTTCATCCTCGTTTAGTTTTTTCTCCAATTTTTCACCCTTTTCTTTTCCAAATCCAATCTTTTTCAACCGTAAAAAAACGAAAAAGCCTTAAAATGGATAACATCGCTCGCCAATCTCGTGCTTTATGCCCCTTTTTGCGTAAGACTTCTACTGCTACCTTACGCACTTTAGCTACCAAGAAGACTCTTACCGTCGCTGCAGGCCAATGCCCCGTCATGGGCTCCGCTATGGAATCCAGAGCCTCCTTCGGTACCGCCTCGGGCCCCAAGAACAATTCTGTCATGGCTGAACCAGTCAGATCCACCGGCCCTATGGTTCCCCCTCCCGCTCCCACCGCCAAGAAGACTCAGGATGATTGTCCTGTTGGCCACCGTATCGCCTCCGGAGTCAAGGTGCGCGCCTCCCCCGTCCAACAACAAAAGCCTACCGCTGCTAAGAATGCCGTCCTCAACAACAAGGGTAACTTTGATTACGAATGCTTTTATGGTAATATGATTGACAAAAAGCTCAAGGACAAATCTTACCGTTATTTCAACAACGTTAACCGTTTAGCTGCGGAATTCCCCAGAGCCCATCTTGGTGCCGTTGAAGATGAAAAGGTCACAGTTTGGTGCGCTAATGATTATTTAGGCATGGGCAGAAACCCAGAGGTTCTCGAAGCTATGCACAATACTATTGACAAGTACGGCTCCGGTGCTGGTGGTACCCGTAATATCGCTGGTCACAATCGACACGCTGTTGAATTGGAAGCCACTATCGCCAAACTCCACAAGAAAGATGCTGCCCTAGTTTTCTCCTCTTGTTACGTTGCGAACGACTCTACCCTTTCTCTCTTGGGACAAAGACTACCTAATATGGTGCTTTTTTCAGATTCCAGTAATCATGCTTCTATGATTTATGGTATCAAGCACGGTAATTGTCCTAAGCACATTTTCAAGCACAATGACTTGGATGATCTTGAAAGAAAGTTAGCTGCTGTTCCTAAAGAATTCCCTAAGCTTATTGCCTTCGAATCTATTTACTCCATGTCCGGTTCCGTTGGTCATATTGAGAAGATCTTAGATTTAGCTGATAAGTATGGTGCCATCACCTTCCTTGATGAAGTTCACGCTGTTGGTATGTACGGTCCTCATGGTGCTGGCGTTGCTGAACATCTCGACTTTGATCATCATCAAACTGGTGCTCCCCTTGCCAACGGCCGTACTCGCAGTATTCTTGACCGTGTCGATATTATTACTGGTACCTTAGGTAAGTCTTATGGTGCTGTTGGTGGTTACATTGCCGGTTCTGCCAAGTTCGTTGATATGGTCCGATCCTACGCCCCTGGCTTTATCTTTACCACCTCCCTTCCCCCTGCCACCATGCAAGGTGCCAAGGTTGCTATTGAATACCAAAGTAGAACCATGTCTGACAGAGTTCTTCAACAGAAGAACGTTCGTTATCTCAAGTCTGAATTGGCTAAGCGTGGTATTCCCGTTGTTCCTAACCCTGCCCACATTTGCCCTGTTTTTGTGGGTGATGCCGATAAAGCCAGAAAAGCTTCAGATTTGCTTTTATCTAAACACAAAATTTATGTACAAGCTATTAACTTCCCCACTGTTCCTATCGGCGAGGAAAGATTAAGAATTACTCCTACTCCCGGTCATAATGAAAAGCTCACTGATGAATTAATTGATGCTCTTGAAGATGTTTTCACTGAGTTAGATTTGTTAAGAACTAATGACTGGAAGTCTAAGGGTAGCCCTTGTGGTATTGGTAAAGAAGAATCCATTGTCCCCTTATGGACTAATGAGTTGATTGCCAAACACGATATTTGAGCTGTTTGATTATTTATATAACTCCATTCTTGGAATTTAGTTATTAAACTCTATTTACAATGTAATTAGTGTCATATTCATATATATCTAATTCTAATAATAATCTTGCTCTTTTTGGTAAACCTTTAATTTGATCAGCGCGCAGTTCCTTATCATAATAGCTTCACTTATCCAAAGCCAACATGTAACAGCCATCAAACAGGTATTTGTGGTGTCACTGTGACAAACTCTATAGAATCAGGCAATGTTAAAGTAGGGAATTTTCGTATTTTTTTTGATTACTAAATTTTCATCATTCGCCCATTCGATTTGTATTTTTTCTACATATAACGTGTTTTTGCTTTTAGGTATTATTTCACTAGTTTTTTCCCAATTTTAATATAATTTAATAATTTTTACTTAGGCCAAAAAGAATAACTTCAATTAATTCAATTATGCATTCAATAATAAGTTAAAAATTAAAGTATAATTACATAATTTTTTATATATTTTTATTCTCATATTATACTTTTGTTTTTCTTACTAATACAATTCTTTCTTTGGTATTCGAAAGGTTTGGCGGAAACTGAAACAATCGAACATATTACAAAGAAAAAGCTAAAATAATTTAATAAAAAAACAAAAGATTGTTATTAAACAACAAAAGTTCTAGAGAGTTAAACAAAAAATTATCCTGTAGATCCCTTACCTCTAGAAAATATGTTTTTTCTTCAAAAAATAATTACAATAGTTCAAAATCTTGATGATGATCTGTAAAACAAATTACCCAGAAGTTACGTGAAAAAAAAAAAAAATTGAGAGCTGTGAGGTTCGAACTCACGCCACTTGCGTGACCAGCAGACATGTTAACACAACAGTGTTTTTACCTGAAGCTGGCGCCTTAACCACTCGGCCAAACTCCCAAACTATTTAAAAATGCTTACGTGTAGAGTATTAAGTAAAAAACTAATAAGATATACAAGTAGGAGAATAATTGTATTTGATTTTACTTGCTGTTGTTTCTTGTAACAGCAATATAATTTAGGATTAATATATATCCGAATCTTGATGGTTATTTAGTATATAAAAGTTTTTAGTAAAAATTTGTCAATATAGAAAGAGAAGGCATTTAATTATACTGTGGTATTTACGTATAAAATATTTATCAATATACGGGAAGGCATTTTAGATATATCATTGGCATGCGAACTAATTCCAACTCGAAGATGCGGCTTCAATAGGTCTAGAAAGCACAAAAACCAAAATGAATAATGTTGTTTTAACCAATTGCTAAAACGCCATAATATTTTTTGAAAGAGGGCGCTCAGTGTCTTCATCGTTTTCAAATATAACTTCACATGCTATCGTTGAACTGGAATTGGGCGGCGAAATCTGCAGAGTATTAATAGAGCTAACATCAACAATACGGGGCGCTTCATTCTCGGATGCTTCAATATCCTCAATACGTCTAGCCTCTATAGTTCTCATAGCATCTTGTAAATCCTGCTGTTGCCCATCGTCCATAAGACCCCGTAAATCAGTTGCAGCAACTCTTTGCCACTGCTTAGATTGCTCAGCTATGTAAACTTTTTGGCGCCGAGCAAGGTAAGAATTACTTTTCCAAATCAGAAATACTATCCACGCTATTCCAGCCAAGCCAATAATAAATGGAAAAGAAAGAACCGTCAAGCCGATAATAATAGCTGGAACAAATATCAGTGCCGGAGCAATGAATATGACGACGGACGCAAATACCGTGAAAAAGACAAATAAGGAGAAAAGCATTGTTTTCTAATATGTATATAAATTTTTATATTATTTGCAGATAGAAAATAAAATTAAATGCTATAAAAAGCTGTAAAGGCGAGCAGATGACTGCTATTATTTTGTGGAATATTTGTGTATATGTACCCGGGTGTGTTGTAAATATGAACAAGAAAAGCAAAACAAAATAAAAAAAAGAGGAAAAACGAAATTAAGGAATATCGTTTATTTATATACAAAGAAATTAAAAAAAATAGATGTTGCGCAATCATATTTAATCTTCCAAATACGATCAAATATTTGGTCAAAAAACGATGTATCATTTTTGATATCTGAGGGGTACCGTTGCAATCCCACACTCAGTCTCTTAGAAGGGAGATATATCAAACTATTCAAAACCAAGCTTTTTTACTTGTTCTTTTCACCAACAGCCGTGACAGTAGTAGGTTTTTCGCTCATGTGCGAGCGAACAAACGCTTCCTTAGCAGCTTGAGCATTTTGGAAACTCTTTGCTCGTTCGTATCTACATTGTTCCCATCGACCGACACTACCAACCGTCCAAGCACCCACGGCCCAGTTCATGGCACTGCTCAAAGGACGTCTAAAGGTAATCATAGCACCAAAGACACAGCCGCCAGCAATGAAGCCACCAAGCATACCCTCACGAAAACAAGGAACCTTGTGAATACCTAAAAAGTCACTAAAACTGAGCGATCCAAGCATACCACCAATGGTATTAAGACCAGTCAGGTCTTGAGTTGATCTTCTCTTGCGTTCGGCTTCGGCCACGTTATCTTGAAACTTGGGTGGAAGATCTTCTAACAACGTAGGGCTAGAAGAAGGGGAATTGGCTTTGGATTGTTCAGCAGGCGTAACAGTCGGTAACGGTTCTTGCAAAGTTGTTTCGGTTATGCTTTGTTTCTTGCCTGGCCACCACATTTTTTATAATTTACTTGCTGTATAAACTGAAAATCTTGCAATAAGAAGACAACTAGAAAACAATAGTAATATGAATCCAAATTGGAATGCTGTATCCTAAGGTCGATTATTTCGGGTAAAAATCGATATAGATGAATTTAAATCACAAACGTTGATGATATTATACATGCTCAAATTATTCCCAGTGGCTTCGGCTCATGTGAATCCCTAACCGCAAAAGCTCTTTGGTAAATGTGCCGCAGCTTACAATGACTATCTAAGATAGAGTGATACTTCAGAATTACTGTTTGAAAAATAAACAAATAGTTGCGATAAAAAACAAAAAATCAAAAATAAATAACAAAATATGAAAATGAATATGCCAGTAACAAAAACATTCTGAGCGTACTATCTCACGTTTCAATTCACGTATGCTGAAAGTTAAACTATAGGCAACAAATAAACCTGTAGACAAATGTAAAACACTAAATTCAAAGAAAAAAAATCTAATTAGACTAAATTATTCACCTTTCAATTAGACCAGCCATCATATCCGAGGACATCGCAATTTACGCCATGGTCGTGTGTATCATGCGCGTCATGATCATTCTTTTGCTCAGACTCTGTGGACTCATGATCTTGAAGTTGTGATTCTTCATTATCAAACTTAGAGTCAAGTGATATCACTTGTCTATCAACCGTAGAACCTGAACCCTTGAAAACAGGTGAAAACAAAGAAGTCCTGAACTGTGAGCTACTATCCTTGGGGCCCAGAGCTGACTCAGTATAAAATGAATCATCATAATCGACTGAGATATTAGTAACTTGATTATCGGCAATATCACTGTCTTTTTCCTTTACTGCACTAGACTCTCGATTGATATTAATACGTGACAGGGTATCTTCATCATCCTCGTCTTCTTCAGCATCTCCGTTTCCCGCAACACCATGTACAACAACATCATCATCTTCAAGACTATAATAAGAATCGTTGAAATTTTTATTAAAGAGAATACTGGTACGATTGACATTGCTTGCTCTACTGGCTGATCTGAAAGGCGAGGTGTTTCCATCAGTTAGAGTGGATATACTTCCACTAAATTCTTGATTAAGATTCGACGTAGAACCGGCATTAAGATTTGACAAAGATTTTGAGTCAGTATCGGAACTAGCACCCGAACCAGTGGTTGTTTTCGTTAGTTCCGAGGACTTGCCTAGGGAATTCTCTGGTGGAGACTTTGAATCTAAGTTCTGACCGATACTAGTCTCGGAAGAGGATTTTGAGCTACTGTAGCCACCTACCTTAAAAGTTTTAGAAAAAATGCTACTTGACGGTAATATACTGAATAGGTTAGATTTGAATGACGAGGAAGGTTGCCTCGGCGGTACTCGAGAGACGGCACGAGATAGAGCAGACGGAGAAGGTGAAACAGGGATAATCTGAGATACAACAGAGCTGAAAGAAGACCCGCGCGATCTTAAATCATAATTAGAAAGCTTTACGGGGGACAAAACATTAGAATCTTTAAAGCGTTTTTCTTCAGCTGTCCGCGCCAATATTTCGTCAAAACGATCCTGTTTGTCGTCCAGTGATGCGGAAATAGCAGTATCATCAATATCCATACCAGACAAATTCCCAAATGCGAGATATTCTTCTGTGAAAGGATCCGAGCAGGTAGCAATTAAATCATCTAAACCGCCACCGGACCAGCCCTTTTTGGCAATTCCCTCGTAAATTTCCATTTCAGCCCGGACAACAGCGCCAGTGAGGGTCAATATTTTGTCATTAGTGAAATTTGTCAAGTCAAAAATAGTTTCAAAATATTCGTTTCGGAGGGTATCCATTTGATTGATTTGGTTTGTTAAATCCTCCAAAACTAGTTTATAAGCGTCCAAGTTTTTAAGGCCACCATTACGACGTTTAGTTAATTTCATGTTTTGAAGTTCAGTTTGTTTGAGAATCTTGGATCGCCTTGAAATTTCCATTTTATAATTGGATTCAAACTCTTTAGATTGGCGTTTAAATTTTTTAACTGTCTTCTTCAGTGGTAGTTCAAAAGCCTTTTCAATACTATCTGCTAAAATTCTCTGATGGTTCGAGACTAAATAATGTAATCCACCAGCTGAGATTAATCCATCTGCGGTCTGAGGGGTCACCCCCTTGGATCTTGATGTAGATTCTAAAGCATGCCCGAACTCCGCGGCCGCACCAGAAACTGTCATCAAGGCTTCTCGATAACGCTCAGCCGATACTAGTAATTGTGAATAATTGGATACTGTCGTGGATAAGTCACTCGGTGTCATCACTTTGCCTCGAGATAGCTTGGACGGAGGTAAAATGTTTGAAGTGTCAAATATGCTCGCAGAATTAACCGAACATGATGTAGCAGTAGTACACGAAGACCTTATTGTGGAACCAGAGTTCGTTCGACGAAGCAGGGGCGAATGATGACTGTTGTTACGTGAGGCGATGGGTGTATGCGCCGGGGTTGAATTAGGGTTTATGAACGAATAGAATTCCGACAAATGTTGAGGGGGGGTACTCATTATTTCTGAATGGAGAGCTGGGTATCAGGAGCTGACACACAGTAATACTTGTGACCAGATTAAGATTTGAAGAGGTCTTAAATGCAGAACGCTATTTGGCGACTTGATACAGCACAATACTGACAGACAGTCAACAATTACGAATTACTTTTAAAACAAGAGAAAGGAGTTATTGGACGACTGAAAAAGGGTAAACTTATGTTTTGGTAGTTTAGTTCCAAAGGTATATATGGCAGTTTAGAAAAAATATTGCCTAGGGGTATGTGGTGGTTTGGTATATCCCGGGCGCTGAAAAATGTGCGTTCTATAACCTTACTCAAGCGTCAATAGAGATAGCCAGTGTTATATGTTACGCTTGACCGAATTGTCCAATTAAAAATAACGTTAAAAAGCCAAGGTTTGGAAACGTCAATGAAATCGTGGTGGGGATAGAGATGATGGATCTGCAACTAAACAGGATTGATAAGACGATTATAAGAACAAAACTCCATATAAGCGTTGAAACATAGACCACGAATGTAAATGTAGTTATGTCCCGAGTGGACGTTTTTGGGTGGAAAATAGGCTCGAATAGAAAACAGGATATGAGCTTCTCTCTGACCGATAAGAAGTACCTTGACAGCTTAGTAAAGACTAGAAATTGTGCAAAATACCCATTTGACAAAAGGCCCCGAAAATAATATAGAATAGTATT